AGAGTGTGAAAGGAAGACAGTATGGTGATTGCTGGGGATGAGCAAGCATCATTCACAAAGCTGAAGTTATGTCCAAGTGAAGAAGTTCAAAAGGACCTTTAGCCTTGGCACGTTAGAAGTCAAAGCACAAATGGGCAAGCCGAAAAGTGACTTTGAGGAGCAGGTAGGAGTGTCTGAGTAGGCATGGGCTCTTTGGCCTGGTAGGGAAACCGTGGAGATGAGATATGATAGAAATCTGCAAAATTGTGGGTGGCACAGAGATTGATAGCCATTTTTTTTGTTTGTTTGTTTTCCCACCGTTTCTTCCAAAATAAAAATGAGGGAGCGTGCAATGTAACTCAGGTCTAAAAACCAATATGTCTCCTTGCATAAGAGACACCTGAGGACTCTCTTTGGGTTAAAGTTTACTTAGGTTGAAGAAATGACTGGAAAAGTTTGTCGAGGAGGGACCTTTTGAACGTTGCTAAATACAGAGTAACTGTTGGAAATAACCTGACCTGAAAATGGTGGGACGCCATAGGATTGCTGAGGGGGGATATCTTGTGTGCTGATGTACTTTAGCAGTGGTGTCAGTGACTGAACTTGCAGACGAAAGTGGTGACTTGTAGAAAAGTGACTGTTTATCCTATTTTTTCAGTAAGGGTCAGTTACTCTGGGAATAGCATATTTGGAATAAACGCCCTTGAGCAGCTTAATCAAACAAAAAAGCACTGAAACAAAAAATGTTCAAAAAATGCGATGTCTAATGCTTTTGTTTTCATACTGTCTTCCCAGGAGTCTCATGATCACATTCCTTTGGATATTCCTGTCACTAGAGAGCAGATGAATCACTATCGAGCTGCAGCTGAAACCGCTCGAAGTGAACTTGCAGCACTTTCAGTGAAGTATGATTGTGCCCAGTCAGAGGTACATTTAAAAATACTTTCAAATCCTTCTCCAAGCCTGAGGATTCTTTACAGTGACTTTCTGCAGGGAATAGAAAGCTTGCTTTTGATTCAGAACTTGTTTCTGGCAACAGTTGTCGTCTTAGAATTTTTGTACAATTTGTGATATACTTGCATGGCACTTGAAGATTAAAAAAGGGTCTGTCAATGAAATAAAATTTCCTTAATTGTGCATAGCTGAATATGAGAAAGAGCAAGAACACATAATATTATAGGAAAATGAATTGTTGCTACAGTATCCAACCAGAACTACAGGAATAAGTGTCCATCAGCTGAACTTGAATTTGACCAGATACTGAAATTACTTCAGAGTTCCCCTACATTTAACAGCTATCCAGGATCAGTACTTTAAATTTCAGTTTTAAAAAGCCATACAGAATCCCATGTTCTTGTAGGAAGAATTTATTACTGGAAATGCTGGATGGCTTTATTGCCAGGATGACTGACTGATTTATAGATTCTTTCAGCACTGTGCTTGCAAAAGTGCAGGAATAGTCAAGAAAGCAGCTGTTCATGCTCTTGTTGATAAAGACCTTTGTGACCCAGCTGAGGTCAGAGCCCTGTTCTGCCGAGTGCTCTGTAAAACTCAAGATATGGGATTGTTCTTGCTTTTTCTGCTATTGGAACTGACCACAAAGACAATGGACAGAGGAAAAAATATCACATTTTGCAGATGGGGAGTTGAACCACAGAGAAATTTTAAGGTTGTGAACGCTTTAAGCTACCATAGCTTGGTCCAGCTGCCAAGCAAAGCAATCCTATTGTTTTTTTAGCTGCTCATTTCCTTCCCCACACTGCCCCATCCCTCATGTTGGCACAAACACATGTGTAGTTTTACGGTGCACTGTATTGTTGGGGAACTGATGCAACTGAAAAATAAAACCTCTCCTTCTGCGTTGTTTTTCAGCCGGATCAGTTTCCCAATCTTAGTTCACCTCATAGACATGTAAGTGCTTCTGCTAGCACAAAGAAGAGGACGGAGTGTGGAAAGGAAGCCTGGGAAAAGGCAGAGCTGCTTTTCTCAAAATCAGTGCTGCTTTAAATCAGCTCCAAAGTGTCTGATGAGCCAGTGCTTGGGGGTGAAGCATAAGCTTATCAGAGACTATGCTGCTGCTGCGAAGGTGATCCTCTTACCTGAATTCTCAGCTTTTTCTCTGTGACATGGCTGTCTCCCTTTCCTCCTCCTCCTCTGTAGAAAGTGAATTCTTTTCTGTCAGCTGCATTGGTTATGTTGCTTGTGGAGAAGTCAGACAAATACCAGAGCTGGTACAAAGGAGGGGGCAGGTGTGCATGGCTGGGAGCCGGAGAAGCAGAACCTCTCTTTTGCAAGGCAGTTGGCTCACCGGCCCCTTGGAATTTCTCTGAGTATCTTGGGTTTTGTCACACTGGAAGCCTCTGACAGAGTTGCGAGTTTCTTGACGTCCTGAATTGCAGCTTAATGTCTTAAATATTTATTGTCTTAAAATGTTTGCTGTAAGTAAAAAGTGCTAGCACACATCATAAAGAGCAGTTAATGTGGCTTAATTATCTGCCTATTATTTTTATGTAGTAGAAGATAAATGCTTCGGATTGCATCTTTCTGCTTATGATTGGAATTGTCAGGAAAGCTGAAACATGCGTTAACACTTCTTGTGACAAAAAAATCCACTCTAAATTACTTGTTCCTTTTAACAAAATAAAACACACTGAAATTTTATATGTCCAGTGTGTCTGCCTCAAGCTCAGCCTTTTAGAGAAGCTTATAACAGAAATAGTTCAATGGAAAATGATATTTTTAACTAGAAGAGAGAGGAGAAAGTAAAGAAAAACAACTGAACTCCATGAACTGTTGGGAAGCTCTAGCATCATCTCTGGAACAGGTCCTTGACATTTGGCGATGACATCCCTCCTCCCACCATTCCTTAAAAGGCTCTCTTGCTGTTTCTGTGTAAATCCAGCTACGTTTGATTGGATTATCAGACCAAAAAATAACTTTTCATGAACTGAGAAGTTGCCTACCGCACAACTCTCTAAAAATGTATTTTCCTCTGAATACGCAACAAATCATCAAAAGGCTCCACTCTTGTAAAACAGCATACTTTGCTGTTACAACTCCCGACAGCTATGGGTTGTTTGTGGAATTGTGCACCAGAATTGGGAGCAGGGAGGAAGCAGGCAAAAAAGAGGGAATAGTGGTGTTAATGACTGTATTGTAATGCAGGTGTATAAGGGAGGTGAGTTAAGGCTGTGCAGCAGAACTTCAGGTGGGCTTTTCTTAAATTCTGAATTTGTAAATAAATTTATCTTCCTGTAAGAGATTATCCTGAAAAGTTTTGTTGTGTTAAAAAACAGCAGCTTTTGCTTTTACAAACCCCTTTCTTCTACTGCATTTTCCTAGTTATATGAAAATAAAATTTTGTACTTCTACTCAGTCTTGTAGTGATAGAAGACTCAGTCTTTTGTTCCAAAGCCTTTCTCGTCACATTACTAAAAGTAATAGAGTCACGTATTTCAGCCTGGGCAAAAATCTTCTTTTTTTAAAATGAGTTTTCTCCTTTTCTGTCTATAGCTTCTTGAACTCAGGTCCCGAATGGTCTCTAAAGAAGAGTCTTTTCGAGAGCTGAAGGCTGAAGTGGAAACCTACAAGGAAAACAATGCTAGACAGAATTCTCGCCTCCTGTCTTTGCAAACCCGAGTTCAGGAGATGGAGGAAGAGGTGTATGTGCTTGCTGCATCTAAAAGCCAGGCTGAGCTGACAGCTGAGGCGGCATTCAAGGAAAGCTGGGAGCTGAAGGAGGAGCTTCATGAAAAAAATGCCAAACTTAAGTAAGATTCATGTGAGATGATAAAGAATTTTTGTTTGGGATGACAGAATGGGGTCGTTGTCAACGCAGAAAACTATGTTGGGTGGACAGACTTTATTGCAGATCTGAACTCTGTTACGATGCCTTGCACAACTGTTGTACCTAAGTGTGTGGAAAGTATTGAAATTTTAATTTTGGTTTAAGTTGTTAGCCCATAAATGGAGTTTTGAGAGTTTTGTTCCTCAGAGGAGAAAATCTCGTATGAGTCAGCTTGGTGTAACCTCATTGTTTACAGAAAATGAGCACAGAGAGCTGTTTGGCTGAATGCAGTAGAAACAGTACGTATGGTTTCCTCATTCATGTGTTTCCACCTATGGCACTGAGGCAAACTTTGTGCCTTTAATAGCATGCTTGTGATGGGCAGTACCTGCAACTACAGCCTGGTGCCCTGATCTGTCCTTATCAGGTGGCGTCTTTTGCAGATATTTATCTGTCACTTGACATGCTGCTTGGGCCAGCAGTGGTGAGTGACTGCTGCTGTACCACTTTGCTCTCTTTTCCTCTCTTCTGTGCCACAGCTGGAACTGAAACAGTGTCAAGTGAATTTCTTCCTTAGTGTAAAGCTGTCCATCGGGAGCAGTGCAATGAAGAAAATATGATATAATTCCTAGTTAGTAGCATCCTGCAGAGAGTGTATTAATGTTTGTTCAGCTTTCAGTAATGTTAGCTTTGTCTGACTTTTCTTCTGCTTTCTTCTGGACTTTGCTGTGTTTGTCTGACTTTTCTTCTGCTTTCTTCTGGACATTGCTGTGTATGTTTTTTTTGTTTGGTTGGTTTTTTTTATGTGGTGTGATGTTTTTTTTGTTTGGTTGTTTTTTTTTTATGTGGTGTTGGGTTTTTTGTTTGTTTTGTTAACGTGCATACTGATTGTTTAAAACTTTTGTGAAAATACAGTATCCTTAACTATACTGTTCTTAACATAGTGTGTCAGAGCGCTGATCTGTCAGTTCTGCAAAACTGCTAATATTTCAGGTCTGTGGGATGGGCACTGATAGCAATGTTGATCACAAATAAAATTGATTGGTGTGAAAATATTCTGAACTCTCAAATTCCAAAATCAATGTGGATCATAGTGTATTAATAGACACCTTATAGACTTTTATAATGGATTTTTTTCCACCATTACAAGGCTAATATCCATGTCTCTCTCAATATTGTCTACTTAAGAGCAAGGTGAGCGTGCACCAGATGTCTGTATTTCCCAAATCAGTATTTTGCACAGCCCTTCTAGGCTTTGTGCGTTAGAAGTGGCTAATTAAGTTATTTTAAAATCTGGAGAAATCCATTGTGGTGCACTTCTTCACCAGTTGATTTGACAAAAGCCCTGCCTGGTGAGTGCTGATGTTGATTGTCAAAGATTTTAGATATGATCCAAATATAAGTGAGGAGATAGTTAAGCCAAGATGCATATAATGCATCCTAGCAACATAGAAAACATCACAGTCTCAGAGATAATGGTTTTTAAGATTCTTTAAAGTGCTACTTCTGTGGGAAAAAAAAAAAAGAAAAAAAGGAAGAAAAGCCTTTTACCCTGTTTGCCTGTCTCATTGGGAGAAAACTGCCAGAATATTGTGTATCTTACTAGCCTACTCTCACAGTAATATGATCAATTTTATGTGCATAAATCTGTGCTGTTGCTCCCAGTGCAGTCCTGGCTGCTCTGTTTTGCTCATGACACTTGTGTCAGCAGTTGTGTTTGTGTTGCTGCATGGTGATCGGGACCAGGGAACTGCTCCTAGAGAGAAGTGAGCAAAATAGAAAGCTTAATTTCCAGCTCTACCAATCTCAGGTCCAGTTTGCTGTGCACTTGGAGAGTGCTGCTGGAGCACTGGCAAAAGGAAAGGGACAAATGGAGGGTGTGTCTGCTCTTTTGGAAGGAACAAACATGTTGAATTGGTCATGAATCTACAGTGTACACTTTCAAAGCTTTTTGTCATCCTCAGCTAGTAGTTATACATGCCACATAGTACGAGTCAATGTATTGACTTAATGAACTTTAGTTGTTTACTTTGGCCACTTTAGTAGTATGTGGCACATGACTAGTCCTAATTAGGTATTCGAGAAAGATTTTCACTGAAACCCACTAATAAAAGGGAAGAGCAAGCCAGTGGGCATGAAATGCACATTTACATTCTATACCTAGGGATATAGTAAAAGATGTTTAATGAATTCTGAGATCGGTTCCCAAGACGTGCACCTCTCCTATTGAAAATGGTGCTTTTCTACTCAACAGGTCTATTGCCAAGGTATTTTTAGAGACTGAACTATGAAAAGCTTTTTTTTTTTTTCTTTTCCTCCCCTTCTCTTTGCTCATTAGTTCTGAAGAGCCAGCAAAACTGTGAAAGTGCTATGTTCTACTTTTTTGTATCTGATTGCCTATTTTCTAGGTGCTCACACCTTTATGGCCCTACTGGAGGTAATTAGGTTATTCGTAGAGTTGTCAAGTATGTGCTTTGTACTTCAGATTGCTTATTTTTAGAAGCAGGCATGGTTCTGTTTGTGATGTGCCTCGTTTTTTCAGAGCCACAGAACAGTTTGTGGGTTGGTGGTCAATCTCGTACGATATTCTAACATACAGGCATGCATGTAGGGCATGTCTAGAGCCTCATACCTTTTCAATTCTGACATATGCCACCTCAGGACAGCAGTTTAGTGACCATCTCACAGCTTAGTTTTGCTGGGGCTATAGAGGAGAGCAAGGTGCCTGGAGGTGAGGAAGCTGTGAGGTGCTTGTTTTCTGAGGGCCAGCACCTGCTGCGGAAGGCAGAGCTCTTTTGGCTCACAGTGTGCGCTGTGCAGTAATACATGGAGCTATCCTTTTCCTGTCCAGAGCAGTAATTAATGTTTTCCATTTCTCTCTGTTATTCTTCCACTCTCCAGCATTGACAACAACTGTGCTGATCTCCCCTCTAAGGCAACATCTTAAACTTTTTCATGGACCATCTCTTTTGCTTAGTGATTTATAGCTGTTCACCGTACTGTGTTCGTACTCACTGTGTGTTTCCTATAGCACCATCATGCTGCTTTTTGATTATGGAGCAATGCTCTGTTGCCTGTTCAATTGCCAACCTAGAGAGGAAGAAATCAGAAATGGAAAAGAATGAGTCCAGAAATGACTAGCATGCCCACTTTGAAAAGTGAGAATAGTGCTATGCTCTGACAAGCAAATGGGTTTCAATAAAATATTTGCTCTAGACAGCTGTTTGGTGATATCTCGCATCTCGTTTTATTCTAGTGTTCAAATTTTTGTGAAGAACTTGCTTTAGAAAGTACCTTGTTTCTCAACTGGGAGCTCAATAGTTTTGTCTGTTGCACTGTATTTTTACCACTGAGTACCTCTCTCGTGGATATTACCTGGGAGATATTAGAGTTGGTATTTGGACTACACTACTGGTCATTTTGAGCTTTGGTTGGTTGGCTGTTTTTGTTAATCTGTGTCTAGGTAGTTTTTCAGGAGTGATGCTCAGCGTTGCAACATCATGAGCAAGATTTAGATCTACGTGTTTGCTACCTGAGCAGACTGTGGCAATGCTTCTTTGCTGGACTTGTCTTTGTTCCTGGTGATTGAAGTGATGTAACCACATTTATGCCATTAAGTTAAACTCACTGCTTTGTTATTTGGTTGTTCATTCTTACAGAGCATTCACGAACCAATACCTGCTGTTAAGGCTGGTAACAGATGTTTCATGTGAGATATGTATCCACATGATAGACATCTTTTGAGAGTGATTCAATTGATGACTAAAAGCTGCCTTTTCTTCGTGCTTTTGTGGTAGTCCCTTGATATCTTCTTTTTTAATGGATCCCTTTAGCCTGAATCTAGTCTGTACTTTTTTTCCTCTCTTTGCCTTCGTGGGTAGTGTTACGCTGTGGAAGACTGTATGTACAGCAAAGTAGCGTCTCCCATCTCTGTTTGCTTCTGCTGGTAAACTTCCCTTTGCAGGTACCCAGATGTCCTACACTTCCATTCGTCCAGAGGGGCTTCTATTTCCCTGGAGTTTGTTGATCAGCGCCATCACCTTCAGTAGAGGGAGGGGATGTGAAATGCTTTTAGTATATTTTTACTATAATTTGATCACTTTCTACTTCCTTACTTTTTCTGAGCTTTTGCTTGCAGCCTCTGTTTCTAGTATCTTGAGGGCATTGTTTATTGATGTTACCTGGTTCTTGTATTTTATTGAAATCTTGTGCTGAGAATGAGGTTGGGATTGTAGATTCATAGGATTCTTTAGAATGCTAATCAAAAGCAAAGACGAAGAAATGTTTACACACAAGGCAACAACAAAAGTTAGATGTATTTAATAAGAGGTACAGAGAATTATATGTAGCTTCAAAAATTCATTTTATGATATGCAGAAGCTAGCAATAATCTTGGGATAATGTCTTTGGTCTAGAATTCTGTTTCAGAGAACATTCATCCTGATGTGAGTATTTTTTTTTTCTGTCTGATTAGTAAATATTTGAATGAATGTGAAGAAAGCATGACTCGAGCTTCTAAAATCAGCAGAAAGTATGAAGAGCTCCTTACAGAGCTTTCTGGATTCTTGGACACAGACATCAGAGAAAAAGAGAAACCACAGGAATATTTAATGTCAAAGGTGATTATGTATAGGCGAAGGTTTCTGTATAGCTATTTAATAGAATATTTGGTTGTCAAAGAAATAAAGCAAGTGATGAAGACCAAAATCTGTATTAAATAATGATTTGAAGACAGTGCTATCATTTGAGACAGCTGTGTTTTTCATATGGGGCTGATTTTCAAAGGTGCTGAACACTAACAGACCTCAGTGAACTCAGTCTGCTCTTATCCGCATAAATATTTTATCAACTTGTAGTTCCCAGGTACAGCCCTGATTAGATGTTTGGTTGAAAGCTTTCCTGAAAATATTAACACTGGGAGTCATTAGGTGACATGTAAACTGTATCACTAGATCTTAACACTTATCTCGAGCTGACATACTATTAAGTAGAAACATCTCAAATTACATACCTGAAAACAATCTTAACTGTGCCCTGTAACAAAATACTGCAAATAACTGTGTGGTGTGTCGTGGTTTTTGGACTGAGGGTCGAGACAAGAACCGAAAAGGGAGCACCCACCAACGTGGTGTTTTTGAGACTTAATCATAAAACTTTGTTATTTCTCTTCAGAATGCTTCTGAAGTTCCAAAACTAAGCTTCCATTTAGGAAAGCAAAGTTGTTCATATGCTCTTTTAACTTTTATCGATGCTGCTGGAGGGCAATTTATCCTAATTTTATGCATTTGTCTTATGTTCTGTCTAGTCTTTACTATCCCTATTTTTCTTTACTTGAGAGCATACTAGGTGTTTTGGGAAATTCTGTTTTGTTATATTAATATTATTATAAGAGTTAATACATTATCTAGGTACATATCACAGTAATTTATTACAAGCACGTTGAAATTGTAACAGATACTCTAACAAAACTTGGCTAGTTGTCATTAGAGGCAAAGGTGTTTGTATTAAGCTGTCTTAACATGCTTATAGTTAAGGAAATAACGAGTTTAAAAAAAAGTATATGTTGCCATCTTGTTTTAACAACGTAGTAATAAATCGAATTGGGAAATCTAATTTGTGCTGAAAACTCTGCATTACGAAAATTTAGCAACTCATTTTTCTGTTTGGGGTCATGGCATGTCTATTTAGCTTCTTTTCCACATTATGGTTTTACTTAAGACAGAATTGATCTGGATTAGTCTTAATAAATGTCTTGCCAGTAGGAGTCACGGTCCATTTTTTACCTTGTGCACTCTTTGAAATGCCCACATTCATCTATTCCAGTTCTTGGAAATAGCATAACTTACCAAAACAACCCTAGAATCCTCCTGGAAACAATTCCTTTTTCCAAGGTGTCAGCTGCTCAGAACAGCAGCCCACCAGGTATTTGGCCCTGTGCTTGAATACGCTTATGAAAATCAGATCTCCCTTGCCTAAAAGGTTTCAAGCATAAAATGCAGCTTTCAGTTTCTCATTACAAGTGAGAGGCATAAATCTTAACAAGCCAAACTGAGATGGTCTGCTTTTCACATGAAGTTAGCTACATGATCTGTTTTCACTTTCTGACCTGCTTCATGTCAAACGCAGGTATGCAGTGACAGTAGCTCTCCACCTGTTTAGTAGATCAGATCATAGAGACTGTGTGGGAGTACATGTGAACCACATTTCACTAAGGTGTGGGTTTTTAGTGGGAATATGGTTCTGATGTTAATTGTTTTTCTACTCTTTTTAGAAAGGAATAGTAGAGTGTAAGTATAAATCTGACCTAGGAGTCACCAGAAACACTATGTCTTTATTGGGATGATTAGAAGCAGGTGTACTGGGATGAATACATGTCATCATTAAGTGCTTTAAAAAAGTTACTAATATTTGCGTTATTTCTGTAGGTCTCTGAAATATGTAAAGAAAATCGAACACTAAAAGACCAGATTACTGCTCTTCAAGAAGCTGTCCATGTCCATGAGATGGAGGCCAAAGCTAGTAGAGAAACTATCATGAGACTTGTTTCAGAAGTGACCAAAGAGCAGAAAAAAGCAGCAGGTTACTATCAAGACATGGAAAAACTTAGTAAGGTACATAATTGCATGACGTGTATATTTGTGTAGTTTTCAAATGTTTTATTGAAATTTCAAATCGGTTTTCAATAGGAGTTACATGAGAAAAAATGCTTCTGAAAGACTTCTGGTGATGAGGGTCTTTCCTAAAAAGGACATTTTTCTAAGATTATTCTCAACTTTTTGAAAGCTTGAGAATATCTGGAGATTAAACAATAATACTGTGTAAAATAGGACTGATTTAGATTTGATGTCTTCTGATGATTTGTATTTTTACTTCCTTTGTATTTTGTAGCCTTTGCTGTGCTTGCACAAACAGGTAAACAAACAGATGTTTTTTAAAGCAGTGTAAACATATACAGTTAATGAATATATCTGAGTCACAAGCACGAAACAATGAAAAAATGCTCTTTTAAATAGTATTTGTGTGATATTGCAAGTTTCCTGAGGATTCTTCTACTCGATTGTTTTAAAAACTCTTATGAGAAATTGAAAGGAATTGATGGGACACTATTTTATTTTTTCTCTTAAGGAACTGGAAGTAAAGTGTCTTGGCTTCCAGACACCCTACATCATCTTGTTTCACTATGTTATAAACTTGTATTTCATAACTGTAAATATTCAGTTGACTCATACCCAAAATGTTGTAGGCAGTAGGATGGCTCTTGCAGGAAAGTACTGTTTTGCT